TTTGCCATCATTACAATGCAGATGGTGAAAAGAGCAACACAGAACAGAAAGGAAGCTCAGATGGGATCCCTTTTGGAAAAATAGGGTTAATGTTTAAAGTCAGTCAGGACAGAAACTACACTCAGCTGCATACAGCAGTAGAGCTGTGTGTTCAAGGCTGAACTGTGGTGAGCTGCTCTAAAAGAGGTAGGGAGAGTTGTTGGGGTTTTTCTTTGAAAACAGTTTCTCAGTTCCCACATCCTGCACCTCAGTGTTATAATCCCAGAGATTGTAATGAGAGAGTTTGTAGCAAAGGTCCGTGTCCATTTACTCTGGTGGTCCTCAGCTTCCACATGAAACTTTGAGTTTTTAAAATGCATTATTTGAGCAGATCCCTGTAAGCTGCAGGGCGAGGAAAAAGGGGACTTTGGTTCAGTTCTTAGGAATTAACCTTGTGTGCCCGGACTACCCTGGCCTGGCTGTGCCAGTGTATGTTGTCACAGGACTCATTCTGCACCTTTTGGATCTGCTTAAGACAGCCTTCAATATTTTTACATTCTGCCTCACAACTGTTTGCATGACAATCTCTCTGCTGGGTGCTGCACTAGATAGGTTCAGGGAGGTAAGTTTATTCAGAAGTCTATTAGCATAAGTATCAGGCCACAAAGGGAACATCCAGAAAGTGCTTTTCTCTTACCTGCAACACACCACAAGGGCCATACTTAATTATGCAGCAATTATTTATGTACTCTAAAGTAATTTTAGCCAAGCTACATCTATCAAGATTTAACATCTAAAGCAAATGATTACACTGGACAGAAACCTGCTGGTTCTAAACCCTTCTCTTGTCTGATTCCAACTCCAGAGCTATTTGGTTTGTGCACTATAGGCTTTTAACCTTTGGACTCGTTTTTGTCCTCATCTGTTTCAGCTTCAAGTTTGAGGCCATGCGGTTTCACGACTGTTGGCAGCAGACTGCATCTTGCTTATTGTCAGTTGAATTTGATTCACTTTCTTCAGGGCATCTGACACGGGGTGGCTTCCAGCCATACCACCTCCAGCTATTCTCTCACCATCCAGGCAGCGCCAGGTTCCACTAGCTCATGAATGGGAATCTTCCCCTCCTCACCCAAGCCTGTCCCCCCATCCCACAACAGGAAAGCTGAGGCTGTTGAAAGAAACAGGAATGGCAACAAAGCTAGCATTGTTGTCCTGAAAAACCACTCACTGGCTGCAGCCCACCCGCTTCATTTAGGGGGTAACGGATATAAGGCTGAATCCCAGGTTTTGTTTAAAACACTTATGTGCCTTTTTCTGTGGAGAATGACTTGAAAATGGTAACAATGTCACTGCTGTAGGCAAAAAGAGAAGCCAGGGAGGGGGAAATGGCACTGTTTTTCTCAAAGTCACAGTTGTTCAGGGTGGTCTTTAGGGTATAAATCTCAGTCCAACTTTACACTGGTGCAGTTCATAGACGAAGGGGAATGCACCATTCAAGACCCCACTGCCAACAGTAAGGCATTTTCAGCTCTTAGTGATGGAGTTGCCCTGCTAGTCTGAGGAAAGATAAAGTTAGAAGGAGGTCAGCATGTTAAGCTGTTTATAATATGAAGACCTCAGATTTACACATTTTAAGACTTCAGGGACCACTGTGATCTCTGTGTCTTCCCTTTTGTGTATGTCAGAACACAGTACTGCACCAGTAGCCCCTAGATATAAACCAACTAACTGTGGTTACATTAAAGTGCATTTAAAAGACATCCACTACTGACCATGCTGAATGAAGGAACAAGGTTTGCTGAGGGTCCTGTCTTGTATGGTAAGGAGTTTATGATTTGCAGCCTCATCACATATTAAGTATCCTCTATCCTGCCTGTTACCTTTCTGTAACAGCAAAATCCTTCTCTTGGACTCCCTGTGGGAAAAGTGGCATCTAAATACAACTGGATGCTCCCTTTGTGTCCATGGACCAAAATTATCACTCCAGATTTGAAGATACAAATACAAAAGATAAAAGTGATATCATTCACCCCATCATCAAGCTACAACTCTATAGGTTAAACCTAAAGATGAACTTTCATAGGAGCTATAAGGACCACCCTAATGGGCTTATTTCATGATGTCTCCATGTTTTCACAGTGCAGCTGTCCGCAATAGTGTTTCCTGCAGTGAGTCCAAATGACATTCGTGGCAGATTAGGAATCTGACACACCAATTCGTAATCCATTCACTTTTTCCAAAGCCTACATCACAAACTATCTGTGGATGCCAAGATGGGCTTGTGATCTCCACAGACATTTGTTAGTCTTAGGGCAAGAAGTAATAAATCTCAGCTTTTCTGCAGGAAATCAGACTTCAATAATGCTCACAATTATGGGTCTCCAAAATGGATAATTTTGCCAATATAGACGTAAGTTTTGGTTAGGCTTTTTCCTTTTTAATTAAAAAACTTGTGCTTAGTTTTCCTTGAGTTTCATTTTTAAAGCTGCAGCTCATGTCAACTTCATCTTTGTCTCTGCAATGGGTTTTCCTTACATTTCACTTAAAAAAATACCAGTTTGTAGGTGAAGTCTGAAAACAATCCTTTCACTTGCACAAGACAGGCTGAAATAGGAGTGCTCAGAGCATCCTGTTGTGCTTCAAAACCAGAAGAATAAGGAGTGGGCTGACACCGGGAAAGGTAAATGAAAAGACTCCTGTTGACTTCAAGGCCAGAAGGGCACCAGTATACTGTCCAGATGTTGAACTATAGTAACTAGACCACTGGGGGATGACAGTATAGAGGGATGATTCCGATGCTCAGGTTGGGTGCTGAGTGAGAGGTGGTATTTTTTCTCCCATTTCTGCTCATGAGGCAGCTCTGTTGGAAAATGCAGTCTCCTTCGTCATTTGCCCTCCTTCACCTGCAATCTTCATGTAAGCACTCCAACTCTCCCCACAGTGGGATCTATGCCTTTCCTGAAGCAGAAGATTCTCTGCACAATAGCACATTCACTGTCTAAATTCTCCAGGGTACTGAACTCAAGCCACCCTCTGTCACCTCCTTTAGACATCTCACCTTGTGAAATAGTTTTCCAAGATGGAGGCAAAGAAAGAAACCAGCAGAGAAAGGACATGATGGTCTTACCACCAAAACTGCGCTAAGAAAATGGAGTTTGCTATTTTCTGCACAGATGGAGAGCTGTGTCCAAGAGCATTACATCCCCTTATTTATGCCGTGGATTTCTTGCAAGACAGTATTAGAAGGAAACTTGACAACTCTGCTGAGAAACTTGGCAAACACCATGGCAGGCCAGGCTCTCTCTTTTACACAGCTGCATTTTCTGCAGCTCAAGTATTTTTCCTCTCTTGCTGTTTGCCCATCCAAAGATGAGTGCTGAATTTCCCTTAACATTACCCACAGGTTAATTTGTTATTAAGTTTAGGCTCAGTTTAACATCTTGGCATGCAATTTAAATAAAACCAAAACCAAATGTCCTTCATTTCTACTGAAACCACCCTCGGTTTGGCTCAGATGCCTTTGGTGTCACTGAAGGGTAAATGGGAGATTCAGTTTTGTCTTGTCATTTTTGGTAGTAACCTAAATATCCTCTGTGTAACTTTGAAACACACTGCCATGAAATAATTATTTGTTATGGAATGAGACTAGCCAGAATCTGAACACAATACATTAGCCCTGACTTCGCTGTCAAGTACTTGTTACTGTAGGAAAGGAATGATAGGACAAGGGGTAATGGGTGCAAACTGGAACACAAGAGGTTCCACTTAAACTTGAGAAGGAACTTCTTCTCAGTGAGGGTGACGGAACACTGGAACAGGCTGCCCAGGGAGGTTGTGGAGTCTCCTCCCCTGGAGACATTCAAAACCCGCCTGGACACATTCCTGTGTAACATTATCTAGGTGTTCCTGCTCCGGCAGGGGGATTGGACTAGATGATCTTTTGAGGTCCCTTCCAATCTCTAGCATACTGTGATACTGTGATACAACAGACACATAAAGTGTAGGAATCCAAAAGGGTGTATCCAAAACTTAAGCACAACTTCTTACTAAAGGAACAATGGTGGGATTTCCCACCTTCCATCCAGAGAGACTAAAGGAAGGAGTACTAGAAAATCCCATAGGTAGAGCCCTTGCCCCGGTATAAATTTGTTCCTGGTCTAATTCTACACTTTCCATAGTCCAACTGTGACACAGTGCAACCAGACTGATGTCAATGAAAAGGGAAAAAAGCTCGTAAGCAGTATGAATAACTGCACATTACACTTAGCCTGGAAAGCAGTTCATGTGGATGCTGACCACTGAGTTAACCCATTAACTGCACTAAGATGATGATGCGTATGACTCTTCAAGTCAGTTTTGTTTTCTTCTATGCAGGGGATATTTACAGCTTTAAGAAATTGTCAAAGTCACCTGCAGAAAGTAACCGGTCATCTCATTCTGCATATCTCTGCCTGGCTAGGAACTGTCACGCTCTTTGCTGGTTCAAAGTTGGTGTTCAAAGTGTGTTAGTTTTATGATTTCTTTCTGTTGATCAAAAAATACTGCTTAAGGGAATTTCCAAAATACGGAGGCTTACAATTTCATCCACAGTAGATTACTTCACATGCAAAGCTGAAACCATTACCGAAGTATTTAACTATTAAAACACTTGACATGGACATCTGAACTTCAGAGGAAATTTAGCAAGTTCAAAGATGTTGATGCTGTTTTTGTGGACCTATTCTACAGTGTAAACAAAAGCAGGATTTGTCTCTAGCTACCATCAATCATTCAAGAGAATGAAGCCTTTTTGTGCTCAAAATCAAAACATAGAATGGAAAACAGGGGAAGATCAAATAGAAAGATTTATGTATGTTGAAATGAATATTTGCATAAGACTCCTAAAAATTTAGTTATTTAGCAATCTGCAAGATTCATGAAATAACAAACATGCCGCACTCATAATTTCACTTGTAAGGCCTTAAAAAGAAGTATGTTACAGTGGCATAAGCAAAGAAAGAAATAGGAGGACAAGTTCTTACTTGTGCCCAAGTTCATGCGCAATTGTAAATGCCAGGTTGAGACCATTGTCTTCAGCAAGAACACACTTTCTCTTGGCACTGCAGACACCTCCCAGGTAGGCAATTCCTGCAACAGAAACACAGAGAATGTTCCCATCAGAATCAGTGAAACAGCTCATTCGCTCACACGTTCAGCAGTAACTGTACAAAATGATAAAAACTACAACCAATATAAAACATATCAGAGCGGTTTACACACAAAATCCTTCGAGTGTCTTTTCATCATCCTATTGAAAAATCAGTCTAGGATTTTGTCAGATAGGAAACAAGTGAAATACAAGAGGAAACAGATTTCGCTGTCTCAAAAATATATTTCACTGAATAAAATATTCATCTATTCACACCACATACTACAGTGTTAGAAGATGGAGTGAAGTAGCATCAACAAGCATTTAAATGGAGGAATTCTGATTTTCAGAATGAAGTTGAAGAGAGGTAACAACAAAAAGCAGAGACTTTCTGAAGGATCTTACATTTCCCTTTATTTTCCTACTTGGAGAAAGCAAGAGTGGCAGAGCTGGAAAAGCTGGCAAACTCCTGGTGGTGAGTCACAGAGCCAATGGAGGTGGCAGGAGTCTCCTATGACTTAGTGGAATTTCGGATTTGATCCCTTGGACAACTGCACAATACTGTCTAGGCCTGTTTGTGTGGGCACCACAAATGGTTGTAGGCTGAAGTGAAAAAGGAATCCAGAAGTCATGGCATGAAACTTCAGCTATGGAAAAGCAATAGTCCTCATATGCCCTTCCTGCATCCAGACAACAAATTGCAGTTGTACTTGGAAATGTTGTGACGGCATCACAGGCCACGCACAGGACTATTTCCTGATGCAATTTTGTTTCATCTGCCACCTAGAAACCACAGTTAAGCCTTTGGGAGTCATGCACAAAGGTTAAAAGACAGAGATTGAGGATGGCTCTATTTGTATAAGCCCTCCATGGCTACACGAGCACCTCTCCTACACTTCAAGGGTGCCTACAAAACAAGATTTCCAGACAGCACACAGTACCCTAACGCCGAGTTCATCCTTCTGATAACTTTCATAAAGTGAAGCCAAGTTGATGTTTGCTGTCACCTGCAGATAGGAGGGAGCAATATCCCCATGACTGGGAGATGGGGTGTAGCAAAAGTCTAGAGTTCTGCCAAGATATTAAAAGAGGTTAAATATCAATTAAAATTTTGAAATACATGACTTCAAATAGTGATTCTTCTGAAGTCTGTCTTCAGTGGTTCTAATCCCCACTGAAACTCGCTGGCAATAACACTGCTCTGTGCCAAAAGCCTCATTTTTCAAAGGTGGGAAACGAATGATTGAGATTTCGTACAACCATCAGTGGCTGAAAAAGAAGTGACTGTGGCTCACACAGAGTCACCTTATATTTATTAGTTATTTTCAACGCTTAGTGTGGATCCTGTGTGGCCATTATAATATTTGCAGTGACCAATTTAAAAATGTAGACATCTAAAATTTGTTTATTATTTCAATTATTAAAGACTCCTGTGGGGCCCAGGGAATCAGACAATAGAGGAACAGAAATGGCCTGGGCAGGGAAACTCAGAATCCTAAAGAGCAGAGAGCACAAAGCCTTGCAGTGCATGAAATGAGCTCCTGAAGAAGTCCAGCTCATGCACTGCTGAGTGCTTATTAATCAGAGTCATTCTGGAGCAGTCAGCCAGTTATAACAATGGTTAGAACAGTTTAAGCTTCAAAAAGCTCACCTCAAAAATGGGTTTGAAATATATATATATATTTTCTATTAAACTATTTCTTTAAGACTATAATTTTCTTTTGGACCAATAATTTTACCGTTACTTTTTTCATTAGAACATAAACAGCAAATGTGCTCTTGATCTGCAAACATAATGCAGTTCTTTAGTAAAACTATCTGAACCATTAAGATAAATGCAACTTCTTGTAACCCAATACAATGATTCATATACTTTATATGCAGATACACCTTTAACTGGCAGTGACTGTAGTTCAGTGCCTGGGTAGCTGCATTAATATGATTTATTTTGTTGTGGGGATGAATGGAAACTGCTGTTTGCATCTTAAAATTCCAGATTTTTATCTGAGCCTTTCAAGTCTGCAGAACTGGAATAGAATCGTCATGAATTCAGACACGTTTGGGAAAATCCTGGCATGCCGTGGGTCTACCAGGCTGGGAATAATGCAAGAGGAACTTCTCTCATTTGGTAATTTTGCTTCTGACCCTGTCTGGTGGACAGGTGTGTGAACATAAAAAATAGGGAAGAAAGCTGAACTGGGCTTTTTGGGTTGTTTGGTTTTCAAACACCCCACGCTCCTTTGCTCAAGCAATTACACAGACAGGGGCTTTCTTTAGGGTAAAACAAGTCCTTATCTTTCCAGACACACTACTTGCTGCCAGCAATTCCCACAAATAGACTTTTAATATCAAAGAAGATGAAGCAGGAGCATCAACGGCAGAGGGACAAGAAAGCTATTTATTATTTTTACTATTACCAAGGATGAGGGTTTTTTCCTTTTTCTCTTGAGAAATCGTGTAATTACAGCCCATAACTTCTGTGCTTGAACACAGAGCTCTCTGCACTTCCACAGCAAACCTCAGCACACAGGCAACTGTGGAAACTCCCATTTATCCAAAAAGTTGTCATACATAAACAGTTCGCAGCTGCTGGCCTCAGCTAATGAGCCCTCCACAGCAATATCTCTAAGGGGAATGATTACATTCATCCTACCAGCTCAGTTAGGCATTAGGATATTACATACTTGCCACAATGATAGCCAAAGCTGGAAAAAGACAAATTTTGGTGCGTGGGTTTACATTTTATCCTATTCAAAACACCCAGGGCTTCCTTCTGATGGCTGTGGAATATTCACTCAGCAAGTGGTTTGTCCAGGTACTCCAGCTTTCAACTCTCTAATGTCTTGTTTTCATTGCACTCCTAATACTTTAATCTCTTCTTTTGCCAACCACCTCTGGATACAGAACTTTTACTTGATTAAAACTTGGCTAGCTTTCCTCTTCTCAATGTATTCGCTGTTGGGAAGGGAGCCAGACTTGAAGTCCTGAAGTCTGCTTGGCACAGATGGAGACTCACTGCATATCCACATGCACAGAGCAAACCTCCCATTCCCCACCATTACTAGTTTGGTGTTGAGCTGATGTTTTTCTCATCCTCCCACGATTTTCAATTTGTGCAGCTCACACATTGCCATCAATTACACTCTTGTAGCCTCTCTTAACATCCTACATAAGTGAAATCAGGAAACCCTAGAAGTGATTCATGCTCTGTCTTTCCGTTTGATGGCAATGATATGTTTGACAGAGATGCCCTGCCTGTATTTACACATCAAGTCAGTCACCAAGGGAATCTTTCAGTGCTTATGATCTGTAAAGAGGAAAAATACTTTTCCTTTCTAGAAAGCTTACATATAAAAGGTTCCAATTTTTTAAAGAAAAAAAAACATTAAGAAAAATACCCACTAAACTGCCTCCAAGGTAGATAATAACACAATCCCTGTTCTACAGCTGAATAAACAGAGGTCCCAAGAAGTCAGCAGGATCCAGATAAAAAGAACACCATTCATGGAAGGGCCCTCTCCAGCATGTTTAGCATGGAGAGGCTGAGGTTGTTACCATCACCGTCCTACTGAGCCTCCAGTTCCAAGTTTGGTTTTCAGGGGTCATCCAGAAGAAGCTAACAGGGTGAGCTGTTCCTTCATTTTATGAGAAGGTGGTAATTCAAAGCCAGACATGCAATTTTAGTAGCACAGATTAATTTGGCTTAATGCTGGATAGTCATCTAGATGCCAATTTCTGTTAATCTTGCAGTAACATCATGGTTTCCATTCCAGTTTAATATTTGCATATGGAAACAGTTTTCCTTAGCAATAATTTTCGTTGTTGCCGTATTTATTGAAAACCACGCTGGAAACAATACATTCATTCTGAATCAACAAGTGCAGGAATTACAGTACAAGCATTCAGTGCACGAGACACAGCTACAGGCAGGTATGAAAATACGTTAACAACCAGGCCAAGTGTTGTACCCAGTGCAAGTCACAGTATTTTGAACTCATGTATTTGTATAGGAAGAGCTTCTGATGCCACAGACCCACTGATGGAACAGGATCCCAGGCACTGCAAGAAGTCAGCCACAGCCTGTGTCAAATAGGCCTCCCCATAAGTAAGCCTTTACCATTCAAGGGAATGTGAAATATGAAATAAGCTCAATCTCTATGTACCCAAGAATTCTACACTGACAACAGGGACAGTGTTTTTCCTCTGTCTGTACTTAATCAAAATGCAGAGAATATTAACCTCTCTCATTCTCTTCATGCCATGCAAGAGACAAAAATGAGTCCAGGGAAATAATCAGTCCACAATTCACTTGTCCTTCTTGAGTGGCAGCACATCCACTCCCTGCTGAGGGCTTAAATCCCCTGCAGGGTGGGAGGTGGTTGAAACCGTATCAAGGAAACAAAGCAGCAGAGGGCTGGTCCAAATACAACTCTCTGTGCAGGACTGGGTAGGCACTAGCTCACAGGGGAAAAGCTGAAGTCAAAGTCCTCAAAAGGAGTTTATAGAATTTAAGCTGGAATACCATCCAGGCAGGTGTGCTGCTCCCCTAATTTTACCTGGTGGAGAAAAGGAGTGGAAGTACTGATTACTTTAAGCATTGCTAAACCCATGCCATTTCTGCAGGCAGAAGATGATCTGTATTCCTTGGAATCCCAAGAAACCTCTAGCTAAGGGAACCTGAGGTTCAACTCCTCCAACTTTACAGCACATATTTGTTTTCACTGAGAAACTAGCAAGTGCTACACCAACTTTACAGCCAAGCAAGCTAGGAACATTCAAATAACTGGTGAGATCACACAAGCAGCCACCTGACTTCCTGTACCCAGCCAACTTGTTGCAAAAGCACCCGTCATCACCATCCCCTTCTGACTTTGGGGAATTTACCTTATCCCAGATTTCAACATAACCTCTACAAAACTCTGTTCCTTGCCTCCAAACAGCAGGGCCTGCAGAGATGCAGCATGCTTTCCCAGAACTCAGTGAGCTCTGTGGCTGGACT